TTTTAAGCCTCTTTATTGTGTTGTTATTATTGTTGTTGGTGTATGTTGCTTTTTGTACATACAGCGCGCTTTTAGTGAAACTTGACAACACCGCTGCTGCGCACTTTATTTTTTTCTGATGGTATTTTATATGGTATTATATATGTATGTACGAATGAATATGTATACTACGTGTGTACTGAACAATTTATTACTGGTTGCAGATTCTGATAAACTTGGCAACAGCGCATTAAAATAAATTTCAGGTTATTTCCACAAATGCCATTTTCATTATATTTTAGTTTTGTCTTTCATATGACTGATTTATACCATTAGATTTTTTTGTGCTTTTGCAAAAAGAATTTTATAAGCCTTCTTTTATTTCTATGAAATCTTTTATTTTTTAATGAGACTTGTTTGCTGTATAGAATAATTAATTAAGAATAATTTTTGTCCGCATTATCTTCGTTTGTGATTCTTATCAGTGTGGTGCTTTTATTACGTTTCTATATTTATATGTAAACTCTCATATAGGTATAAAGATATGCATACAGAAATGCAATATTTTCTAAATTTAAATTTTTTCTCTGTTTAAATCCAATATCAGGACCGATTTATTGTTTATAACGAGTACATTTCGTTTGATGCTTGCATATGAGATCCCTATTCGCATTCACCTAAGTATGTTCAAGTAATTACTTCTGAATTGTTATCTAAAACTTAAGTGCAGTTTTCTGAAATGACAATATGATAGAACATTTCTTTATTTATATTATTACTGGTAGAGTAATTACCTACTCAGATATGAAATCAGTAAATTTGCCTTATTTTTGCCACAACATGAATCTCCAGGTAGGGTCTGTCTATGCGGTTATTGTTTATTTTGCGAAATTACAAAACGAACTCAGATAGGACTAGGTATTTAGGGTCTTTGAGTTATTACACAGCTTATTTCGAATATATTTTGCCATTCTTCTCCATTTATCACGCTGGCATGGTATCACAAGGGACCATTATTTTTGTCAAGTGATGAGTTTGGTGCACAAGACTACCCTTTCAACCTAATCTAGCTTCATCTATTTAGCAGCAATAGATGCTATTTCTGAATAAGTTCTGTAAACTAAAGCGAGTATTTTAAAGATATGCGTTCAAGTCGAAAATCAATATTCAAGTGTGATTTCCTCCTTTCAAATTTTAAACCTCAGTTTAAATTTCGTTCTCGTTAATGTAGGACTACTCTTTTTGACACAAGAATTTCATATAAATTTTTTTTGAATTTGAATTTTTTTTATATAGTGGCTCACAGCTTATTAGATGCAGACCAAAATTTTTTGAAAACTTTTATTTTTTTTCGAAATATTTTGCAAAATTAAAAAAACAAAGTACACAGAGTTATTGTTTATAGTCTTTTAATTCATTTCCAAAAAACCCAAAAATCTATTTCCATTCCTTAGTAATGCAACAAAAACTAAAAACAAATGAAAAATTCATGTTACAGCTTAAACGATGCAGTTAATAGTACCGTTAATATCGTCGTCATTTCAGACGAAAATAAAATATTCTTATTTTGCGATCATTTGTAATCATAGTTTTGAGGGAAAATACTTAAAAAATGAAAGTGTATGTATTTTATTAACCATGGGATGGCGTACATCAATTGAAAAGCGAGATTTGGCATTGGAGCATTTAAAAAAGGAAATTTCCCAACGTAATATAGCTGAAATGGTATATCTAAGCTCTTCAACAGTTCAGCACATAATTGAACACTTATTACATAAAAATCGTGTAGAAAATATAGAACGAAAAGCTCCCAATCACAATTTTTGCAGTAAAAGAATCGAGATGATTAGTAAACTAAATTCGAAAAATACAACAACAGACGCTCCAAAGTTGGAAGATGTAGACAAAAAAGACTTAGGAAAGACTTGTTATCCTGAAACCGTTCGCGGTATATTAGGATAATCATATTCGAGCTATGAAGTAAGCCTTTTGTGAATTCAATCACATGAATCAAAAGTTGCAGTATATGTATATACATTGTGACCGAAAAGTTTTCGGAAATTCTCATTTAAAATTCGCGCGCTGTATATTTTTCGATATTTTAAGTTTATGTAGTTTGGCAGCACTGTCCTTAATTATTATGCCAAAAATGAGCGCGATCTGTCAGACAGTTCGTTTACGGCAGCTGTTGAAACCAGTTCACCTCAGTAGTGCGTTGCGAAAAAAACAATGGAAAAAAATATTGAACAAAGAGTTTGCATCAAATTTTGTTTTTCGAACGAAATTTCGTGTGCAGAATCGTTGCGAATGCTACAAAAGGCTTATGGGGAATCAGTTTTATCGAAAACTCAAGTTTATGAGTGGTACAAAGCCTTTCAGGACTGTCGTACGACCGTCGAAGACATGCCGCGTTCTGGACGACCTTCGACCTCTACCACCGACGAAAACATTGAAAAGGCAAAGGAAATCGTGTTCAAAAATCCTCATGTGAGTGTTAGAGAGATAGCACGAGAGCTAGGCATCGGTCGTGAGATGGCTCGTTTGATTTTGGTGGACAATTTGTGTATGCGACGTGTCAACGCCCGGCTTGTTCCGATTCACCTCAATTTGTTCAACATTATCAACGATTTTAAGGCCAAACATTCAATAAATACCATCGAACAGCCACCGTATTCACCTGATCTTGCACCGTGTGACTTTTTCCTGTTTCCCAACCTCAAATTACCACTCAGAGGAACGCGTTTTGAATCCATAGAAGACGTAAAACAGAATTCGCAGAGGGAACTCAAAGCCATACCGGAAAGCGCCTATAAAAAATGTTTTGATGATTGGAAGAAACGTTGGCATTTGTGTATTGCTTCTAATGGAGCATATTTTGAAGGAGATAAAATAAATATTGATGAAGATTAAGAATTTTGCGTTTTATTTAAAATTTCCCGAAAACTTTTCGGTCACAATGTATATATTATATATATATAATATATGGCTTAGAACTTTGAACTTGCCAAGTAGAGATATCGATTCGCGTATTAGTCACATGTTAAACCAATCTACGTTCTCCAAATACTAGTGCTTTTGTGAAGTTAACTGTATGAGCACTTAGTGTGTTAATAATTTCTACTAATGAAAGTAGAATCTTTAAAACGCAAAGTTTTATACATTGGAGACCAAAAAAAGTTATGTACATATATATCGTATATCGTACATACATATTCGACTCGTTCCACGAGATGAATCAATTTGAATAGTAGTCATATAACTTTTGCAGATTAATGATTTTTTTTTTTTTTTTTTTTTTAAACTTTATTTGCAGTCTAACATAGATGTTCAACAAATGAGTTTTGTTGTTACCTAACAGAAATAGCTAATACAGAGAATACAGATATACATATGTATATGTATAATAGACATAATATAATATCTCTGCTGTATTTGTAATATTAGTCCCTATTTGTACATTATATCGGTTTGTAATCTTCTAGCTTTATTTTAATTGTCCGTTAAAATATATTTCACTAAGCATGCTGAAATGGTCCTTATTGATGTATTGATTTATTCGAGATAAACTACGGATAGTTTGATTTTTAGAGTGTAGCAGCCAACCAACTGAAAAGATTTTGGAGCGCTTGTATTGACATTTTACAATTTAAAAATATCTATCAAATACAAATACTTAAATTTTCGGTATCAAATAGATATGAGCATATAAGTATTTCTTGATTATGAGAAGTAGGTTCACATGCTAGACACTGTCAAAGGCTTGTTGGTCATCTAATCATACTGCAGAGCAGTATTTTTTATATGCAGTGAATTATAATCAATAAACGGAACCAATTTTTTTAGATTATTGATGATGGTATATTTTTGAAATATATAAAATATTCATATAAAAACATATATGGGTAATAGCTAACGAATATGTCACCTTCGCATCGGATTGATTTAAATTTGTTGAGTTCAGATGAAATACAATCTGAACTCAACAGTTGGGAATCCTGATTTTATTGGAGAAACAACCTCACAAAATGTGGATGTTAATTTTTACAACTTAGTTTACATATTGCTATTAATATTTATCGGTTAAAATTTTGCAATAGGTGTGACAAAAACCGGTATAGCTTCAGTATAGCTTTCTATGTTGGGAACTTTAATATGTACATATGTATAGATAAAGTCTCTTCATAAATTGAATTATTCGAAATTATATTATATAATATTATTACACATAACTGTTATGTAATCAAAATAATATAATTGGAATAATTTAATATGAAGAATTGTTGTTTGTAAATATTTAAAAACTATGTATAACTTTAGTATATTTACCTGTTTCACAATATAGATAATAAGATAAGTATAAATATTTAAGAAAATTTTCTTTTTTATTTGCAGATTGCATCTTGTGTTCGAAACCTTATCATAAAAATAAAATTAATTTAAAATATAAAAAAATACAAAACCATAAATCTGTGAAATCATCCACACTTTTCCATTAATTATTATATATGGTATAGGGTTACTGTGTAAAATAAATTGAAACAAATAATAAATTTTAAGAAAATAGAAATGCAATTTTAAAGGGTGACGACGGAAAATTTAATTAATAAAAAGGTTGCTAGCTTGAAAATTGAATATTTCACGTAGCTACTAAAGCAAAAACGGGCGTATCCGTTTCCGTTTCCGGTTATAAATAAAATAAAATAAAATAATAATTTCATTTTGTTGTTCATTTACAGGATGTGAAAATTAACTTCTCCACGTAAATGTTTAAAATATTTCTGGAGAAAACTTGTGTTCTAGTAAGAATATATATGTTTTTATATTTTTATTAAAAATATAAAATATGAAATAAAAATTTATAATAATAAGAAATGTATATATAAAATAAAATTTTTTAAAATAGTTATAAATTATCCAACAAAATATAAAGTGCAGTGTTTTGAATGTAATATGAATAATAATTATGTTATTGCATTAAATATTAATTACACATAAATATATGTATGTTTAAAGCTTAAAGCTTAAAAAAATTATTTATAAATAAGTTTGGGTGCAGTCCAAGTATTTCTAAAAGGCTTAAAGCATGTGTTGTATACTACAAGAAATATAAAATAATAGAAATGATTAAAAAGTTATATAAAAAATAATATGAGCGAATAGAAAGATTATTCGTTCAGAGCATATTCCAGCTATTGAAAAATCTGAAGCCTATGTATACATATATAAAACCATTGTGTAAGCAAATAACAAAATACCAATTACCAATTAAAGTTTAAATTTTGAAGCTGTGTCGTTCGATTGTGCAATTATGTTTGCTCGTCCAGCTCGGGTTTCATGTGAATTGCTTATATCGTTGCATTCATGTTAAAAATGCCGTTGTGATGTGTAACATTTGCAGGAGCAGAAATATTAACAGTTCGGCATGAAATGGAAGCAGCCATTCGTGCATCAGTGCAGGTCGGTGGTCCACCGCCCTCAAATAGTGGTCAGCAGCAACAACGCGGTGGTAGCAGTCAGCAAACGAATGATAATGGACCATCGTCACATCAACTACATCATCATATTCATCAACAACAAACTTCGTCATCCAACCAACAACAACAAGGAAACACCACTAATAGCGCTCAGCAACATCAACAACAACAACACCACCACCACCACCACCAACAACAACAACAACAGCAGCAACAACAACAACAACAACAACAACAACAACACCAACAACAACAACAATCAAACATGTCCGCTTATCAGCCAAGGATATCATCGGGGGCCTCTCCGATTCATAGGTGAGTTTCAATGAGTTTAAGTTCATCTTATGGCATGTATATACACATTTGTAAGAACTTAAACAAACAGATTCATATAATTAGAAACCAAATTTTTCCAGAATTTTAAAAATTAAATGAAATTTATATAGAAATATATCATTATATCATAACATAATGTAATGATCAACTTCATGATTCGTTGCATACTAACTGCTTTATTGATTCGATATATGTAATTTACACATTTAATTTATATGTCCTGTTATATACTATAACTGTAGTAATTAGTAGTTAATAAACATTCTGAAATGACATATTTTATTTTTGCACTTTGGGAAACGCATGTCTGAGGTGCTTTAGGCATATGGTTGCCATTTTGTGCAAATTCGAATGCCAAATGTATTTACTTAATTTCTTTAATATTCACTCGCCTTCAGATATTTCACACCTTTTACAGTTCATTCCTTGAAGTCCATAAAATTTGTTAGATTGGAGTCGATCCATTCTGTAAATATGAGAAGGTGGTTTTTATAAATATTCTATAATAACAGCTTTTGTGGAATTTTTGTAAATTTAAAATAGGGAGGAAGGGCTGAAAACTAATAGCGGAGCGGTAATCTAAATCGTGGTTTTAACTAGAAGTTGGGTTCTCTCTCTCTCTTTAATAAAGGGTTTTTTTTTGGCATGCAAGTACTGAGATTAGTTATATGGATGGGTTGCATATGATAAGGGACATTAAGAATCTTGATGCTGTTTTCGGCAGTTACCATAAATGAATAAATTTAGTTGATAGTCAATTTTTGATAATATTGTTGCTTTTATAATACTAAGAAGAGTAGATCGGTGGGGGTGGGAGTGTTTGGAAGATAAATATTTTATCATGTTTAATCTGGAAAGTATTTATCTTTTTATATGGATGTACTGTTCTCTAAACATATTTTTCTAGTCAAATATTTCATCTAAAGTTTATACATATACATATTAGAGATAAAATAATGATTAAAATTAATCTTAATACTACAAAAGCTCTGCTTTCGACACATATGAAAAATATATTATCACAGGGGATACGAGCTCCAGAGTACTTCAACCAAATGGATAAAATTCAATTATTATTAAATATATTTTTAACTGAGTTTAAATATTTTTGATTAAATATTAACACCACGTCAACAAATAAGTTATGATTCAGCTATTTCTCTTTGTTTATAATTGTGAAAGTTTATTTAATTAGAAATTATAAACTTTGACTTTTTATTAACATATTTAACTCAGGTGTTTTTGTATACTGATGCTTTTTTCAGCCAGAATCCCACTTGACCTCTTCAAATGTGAAAATAAATAACACTCCTGATAGAGGAGATCCCTGTGGAAAGCCGCTCATAAAAGAATGGGAACAAGACCAGCAAGAATTAATTTTTTCTAAATCTAATGATTTAGAAGGCTTACGAGAATTTTAGATTAGATTTGTAGGGTTTAGAACTGGGAATAATATAAACCATTATATGCGGTGCAATGTTGTTATATAATTTCATTATTATGTTGAAGCTAGTTGAGTAAGTGTACTTGAGCACTTTTATTCTCAATTAACAGAGAGGTTTCTTCTTATATAACAGCTTCCTGTTCTTAGTATTGAAAGTTTCATTTTTGAATAATGATTGAAGGTGATGAAGAATTTTGGAACAGCTAATTCTTTTTAATTGAACATATTTATGCCATGTAAATCGTTTATCCACCGTAATGTCTAGATATTTAATGCTATTCTCGCAGTTTATTACCATATTTCCCACTCTCACTTTCGACGGGTTCTGTCTCCACTGACTCGTAATAAACAGAGCCTTAGTTTTTTAATTTTTGATTTTTATTTTCCATTTCTGGAAATACCTCAGGATGAGGTTTATTTGCTCCTGAGGTGTGTTGGTTATGTTGAGAGCACATTTATCCGAGTATAGCATACACGTGTCGTCAGCATACAACGCCAAAGTCGAGGGACCTAACATTGGGATATCAGATGTATAAATTTTGTAGATAGTGGGGGAAAGTGGGGAACCCTGAGGAACCCCTGCTTCTATAGTTCGGACTGACGAGAGGGCGCTGTTGTTTTTCGTGCGAAAGAACCTCCCAAGACACCGATGACCTTTGTTAGCCTGTCTGGAACACCTAGAAGAGACATTTTTACTATCAAGCTATCATGCCAGATCTTGTCAAAAGCTTTAGAAATATTAAAAATGATCATTCCAGTTGACTCTCTTCTACTGAGGGCTGTTTAGATCATTTGGGCCGTTCTAGCCAGTTGAAGCTCCATGGACAGGTCATTCCTAAAGTCAAATTTCTAGTCAGAGAGTATATTGAGTGAAGCCACTACAGCATTTAATCTACCAAGAATTACCCTTTCGGCTAGCTTTCCTATCGTTGATAGCAGGCATATGGGTCTCCAGTGCTGCTGTAATTGTGGGTTTTTATCAGGTTTAGGGAAGATAATCATTTGTGGCCAGCTTCCAGGTGTAAGGAAACTCACCTAGCTTGAGCATGTAATTAATTATGTTGATAAGCTGGATTGCGTTCTCCGGCAGGTTACGTAGGCATCTGTTGTTAATTATATCATGGCCAGGCGCCTTTCTAATATTTAATTTCGCTATAATTTAGGGATTTCTTGGTAAGTGCATATTGCAATGCTATTATCTAGCTCCTGATCCAAAATATTATTTGCCTCTTCGGGATACGTTCTTCTTCCTCTGAGTCACAGTTTAAGTCTTCATTAGGCTGGAATTGAAGCTAAAGGGTGTCCGCGAAGGTCTCGGCTTTTTCTAAATCTGTGTATGCCAAACCTGTCACTCCATGGATGGGTGGGTGGTATTACTGATTTACGCTTCAGCCTGAAGTACTTATTCATGGCCCAGAAGGCTTCATTCAAGACCCATCAGAAATTCACTCCGTTTCACGTTTTTAAATACATAGATTTTTTTCCTGATTTCATTTGAGAGACGGTTGGCTTTCCTTCTGCTCTCTGGGTCACCCGTTATTTGAGCAAATTTTAGGACTCTATTTCGATTTTTAATGATGTTTTTAATATACTGCGGCAAGTTAAAATAACTGCATGGTTTGAGGGTGGAGCAGCTATCCAAGGCCTGCTTTAATAGTTGGGTCAAGTTCTGTATACAGTTATCAAATTCCGCTGATGTTTCTGGATGGATGTTGATGCAGCTAACGTCTACTAAGTTCTTGAACGCATTCCAGTCAGTGGTGGAGAACGTCGGGTCATTATATTCATGGGGTAGTTTTCAAGAATGAACACAACCTGTTTATGTTCGGAATCCAGCTCATCTAAAACTTCCATAAGCACGGTATAATCAAGGTTGGACATGTCAAGGTCTATTATATGGCCTGCTCCGCCGTCGTAATGAGTTGGCTCGTTAGGCGCATGGAGTTTAGCATATTGTCATTAACAAACTGAACAATTTCCCTTTCGGCCCTATTCGTACTTCTATCACCTCAGTTTCTGTGGTAACCATTCAAGTCTCCCGCTAGGAATGTGGGTAAGTTGTTACTGATCATTGTTGCTAGATCTCCCAAGTAGGTTTTCACGCTTGGCGACCTATAAACTGAGGTAAAGATGATATTACCCGCCGGACATTCAACCTCAACTGAAGTAGCTTTGAGCGTTTGTAGGTTGTTAATTCCGAAGTGGTATTTGATGTTTTTCCTTATGAGGATAGCAGTGTCCCCTCCTCTTCTTAAAGTTAAGGTTGGCTTTGTAGGATGACCTGCATCATATTCTTCATAATCGAGTTTAGTTGTTCCTGGAAGTTGTCCATTAACTTTTCCTGTTGAGCAGCCGGTGGATGTGGCTTGGTGGGGATTTGTTGGGAGAAATTTCTAGATTCTACAACATCCGCATACGTCATTAATGACCTTATTGAGGAATATTTTCGGAGCACACGGGGATCCTCTATAATTTGCCGGATGATCACCACCGCAGTTTGAGCATTTCGGAGGATCCTCACGAGGTTTCATATATAGGGAGTGATGATGCGTGCCTTCGAAATTAACTTCATATTTCTTATGAAATATTATTTTTGCGCGATAAGATGGGACCAGTTTGTGTGTACATTAAATTAATGGAGGACAACTCCCGTGAACATTCTCACTTTGGTCCAAATTTCAGTTGAGCTGACAGAAGAATTTTTCAAATTTGTTAATTTGTTAATATTCGCGTTTTGCTTTCTTCAAACTTTTACAGTAGTACTATGCTTTTCGTTTATGGTATTGAAGAGTGATGACTGTAATGATTCACAATGACTCTAATTGTCACTTACTTGTTAGCGGAATAGAAAAGTAAGCAGCGGGGCGAATACTTTTTTAAATACTCGGTTCTCCTTTGTTCACATAATATCATTAAATGTATTTGTTTTTCAAATTAGAGCATACTATTGCTAGTCCCATCAGTTTTATCAAACTTGACCTTTAGTTTCATTTTTGGGGAACTAAAGTGCTAGGTCAATGCCAATGTTAATAAGATAATGATAGCTTCCATGCAGATCAATCAAAGACTTCCAGGAAGAGAACCAAGCTATGTTTGGAAAATAGATGGTAGTCCAGATGTGTGTACGTTGCTTTGAAAAGTGATAGGTTTCCTGAAGATTAATTATTGATGGTGAATGGAAAGTTAGTTTATGGAAATTGTTGAAGTCACAATTCAAATTTCACTGTATTATCAAAATCACAATAGCTGAATTTAACCGTACTGTAACCAAATGTCACAACCGTTCTTAAAGAGTGATAATCGGAGACTGTTAATAGATACACATAGCAGAAAAAGTCTACGGATATTCACAAAATTTTTCTAAAATTACGCATAACTTTTTTAATTTTTACTCAAATTCATTTTTATTTCCTGATTTATTTTAAACAAGGAAACAACAATAAAATTCCAATATAAAAAATTAACAGTTATTCTTTAAAAAAAAATTAAACACAATTATATGCAAAAGTAGCAATTTTGAAGCAGAAAAAGTCTA